TATGGATATTTATTAGAAATTTAAGAAAATCTAATTACCTTTGACAATTTCTTAGTGCGCGATAACGCGGAAAATTAATTATATCGGGAATAAAAGCATTATCGGGGCAGTAATTAAATTAGAAATTTTATCACTCCGAAACAACCACTAATCAGGTTGATGTTGATTCAGTCAATTTGTGGAACTTCTTCGGCGGAGTGGTTACTAAACTTAATGAAATAATCCTGGGAAAATATTGATTTTGTGTACCCGCCAGACATTATTTGAACTTGAGCAGATTTCAGTGCCTTAATGGGTGGATTAGTACCAGCAGCGATTTATTTATTTCAAAAGCGGTGAAATGTATTTGCTTTATTCCCCGCCGAATTTAAGGATAATTTGGAATATTATTCACAAGTTAAATATTGCAAAATGGATAAGGATCTTTCTTAGCTCCAATATCCGTCCTCTTTAGGTGAAGTGCCTTGGAAGTGATTAATTTTTGAGGAGCTCGAAAAGTTATAAAGAAATTTTTATTAAAAAATTATGAGGAACTATCTATATTATCTTATCTTATTAAACATCATTGAATTCAAAATTTGAAAAAAGTAAATCGAATTTTATGAGTTTAAGTGAATAAAACATTCACCGATGATTTATTCTTTTAAAAATAATGGGTAGGGTATATTCGTGCGTATACAGACATATTGCAGTATATTGAATATCAATCAGTAGCCAATTTTTGATAGTTCCTAGTTGTTTGGTTAAATAATCATATACTATGCCTTCCTACTATTTGCAGGTTGATGTATCGGATTTCGATTTGGTTCCAATCATTACCTAAATGTAACTTTTTTCTTCGGTCACGGGAATCAATCATCATTAAAATCTCAATCTCCGTTGCTTAACGTGTAAATATAAAACGACCATATGAGCGTTGCGTTCAATACACAATAATATATATTTTTTTATTGAATGTAGTATTTTTGAGAAAATTTCCGTTTGTTTTAAAAAAATGTAGTACCTATGTGTATATATTTTTTAATTTCATTTATATTATCGGGTATTATTTACAGATTCTACAACAGTAGTAAGTAAAAGGTATTACGTCCAACGTACGTAAACTTAATGGTAGATAAATGTTTTCCCGCAAACTCGAAGGCTTATACGTACGCCGCCAGATTTATCGATGCATATTGCACAATGCAGCACAAACATTTGACCTTGTCCATTTGCAAATGAATTTCTGCCCCTAATGGCCATCATTTGTCACGTCTTTTATGTAACATCGCCCCGATAAAACGTTTTATCGACGCGTTAATATTTTCATCCATTTTACAGCTGTAATGGTTTTCTAAATCATTTACCTTATTTTTTACAATTTTTTAATGTGTAAGCCCGGGTGCCATCAATAGTGAATGTACCGAACGGGGTACGCCATTAATCAATTTCATTAGCAGGCACGTAAGGCATTTATCAGCATCATTTTATTTTCAACCTGCACCGCTGTTGGGTGGGTGGTGAATTTTCGATGTTGGTTCTCTGAAAGACAAGAGTCATTTACGCATTCTTAGAAGGCTGTGGATGCACAAATAACACACAAAATAACGAATGTTACGCCACAAATATATTTTTACTTTAATAGTACAATAAAATAATTTTTTATTGTAATTTTATGCAGTGTACGAAGAATAAAACTGTCATTTAATTTATTAATTTCAATAAACCTTTGGTGACCACAGTACCGATTATCCGGATAACTTGTCTGTACAATGCATTGTGTGTCGGTAAACAATCGAGACATATGGGAAGCCTAGCGATAAGCGAATGAAACACAAACAATCCAGAGTATTTATATTGTATTATTCATACGGAGCACAGAAAGACTAGGATTTAATTCGAATGGGTGAAGAGCTCACTATGAAATATATTATTTAATAATGTTGGAATATTCCTTCCATTCCATATTACTTTTATAAGAACCCTTGACAAAGTACCTACGTATATTGGACGTTACCTCTTGAATATTATTAACTAGCCTGCGTATTTATATTTTATAATACCATTAGACAATCTTATGATCCAGGTCTGATAACACTGGGTATGGTAGGATATAATAAGTTTTTATACAGTTATAGGTAGCTTTTAATTACCCTTGTATTGTGCAAGAACATTACACCGACCGACAGATGGGATCCTAGATAATATTCGGTAAAGCGTACGATACAAACGAAAACGAGGAAATCAATAATATAGTAGCGACATAAACATAAAGTTCATTTTATCCCCATAATAAAATATGGAGTGGCATTTTACTCGTATATATCTACCGCTGTCGTTCTTGGGCTATTAGGTTTTGGAGAAATATTGGTGAATATATTTCATAACTTACATAAAACTTAGTGTCAAACTATGAGGAAGTGAAAAAAGTCAAAAAATAACAGGTTGGAAAAAATATAACATAACTATTAACATTTTTTCTTTTTAACTCAAAACTGAATTCGAAAAAATCAATATGACCCCTCCTGCAAGTTTTTTACGGCAAAATAACTTTTATTTTAAAATTAACCTAGTATCTACATTATTACGAATATTTTATACGCTGTTTTTGCTTGCTTTATAAAGCAAATACTTTTTACGAACCGAAAAATTCATTATCAGCTATTCATGAAACGAAAAAAGTTAATATCGTTATGAGAAAGCGGAGGCAAAAAGCAGGTACATTTTAGTAGTCAGTCAATTTTAATTTATAATTCATAATAAAAAGTAATGCTATTAATAAAGTAATAAAAAGTTATTTATACTTCCAGTCCAGATTAAAATACCGTTGCGTGTTTTATATTTGATAACACAGATAATTAATAATACCTACTTTTTCATTCCCCTGTAATCGATATTTGTGTATAATTAATGAATATAAGTACAATTCCTGGGTCAGTTTTTTTTTATACTAACAAGAAAATAGTGACAGGTTAATAAATGTGTTAGGATGACATCAATTTATCTATCTTTTTAATTATATGTCATAAATATTAATACCTACTTTAATTTTGTATAACGAAACAATTAATTTGAAATTTAGGTACTAAACTTACTACACATTGAACTCTTAGAAAGGTTGTTGATATGTGATTTTAGCCGAAGAAAGCTGTGCGAGTAAAAAATATTATAAAAACTAAAATATTAACTTGCTTACAACCAGCTACTACTACTAATAAACCTTAGAATTGACTCGGAAAATAGAATTTTAATTAAATGGTAGACGCAAGCAAATGGTTGTATTATTAAATCACATTTCGTTTACGTGACCAAGCAAGCATTTGTATTGCAGTATCACAAATTCGCAGGAGCTTGTATATTAACAACGAAACATTCTCCGAAAAGAGAAAAAATGTATCGTCATTAATATAAAAATTACTTCTCGTGAAATATAAGAAACAAACGTTTTATTCGTTACAAATTAGTCTTTAGGTATTTCTGTTATTAAATTCACCTAACGCAAGTCTATTATTTTCTACTTACTTGATGAAAAATAATTTATAAATATTTCAGTATTTTTTTTTGTACAAGTTCATACTGAATAAATGCTAATGTTATATTTTACAATAAATAACCATGAAAGTCAATTTATATACATATATACTTTGTTGCCTGTATCGCTGAAAAATACTTATATAATCGCCCCTATATAGCGTCTAGTTATGCGACACAAAAATTTCAGACAGTAGGATAATAGGATCATGCCATATTTGTTTACCGTTAAATTTAAGAGACGTCATGTCAGTCGCTGTAATATAATACGTATGTAAGTAAAAGCAATGAAAATAACGAACATAACGAAACTGTCTCCTTATTTTGGCAGACAAATGTGATATTTGAGTACTAAGCTTTTTTCTGTTTTTTCTCAAATGGGCTTTACATAAATCAAAAGATATTATCTAAGTTTTACTTGTGCTCACGATCGACAATATAGCGTTCAAAATAAATTTCTAGCAGGAAACTTCTACTGTAACATAATTTCAATCATGTTTTAAATATGATACGGTGTTGCAAATCATCATCAGCATGAATGTCAACCCATGACCTGTTTTTTTAATAAATCCATACTGCACTGAGTCTAGGTAAAGTATTGAAATTTATGTAGGTACTATAAAGAGTTTGACGTTTATGGCTTCGCTCTGTTTCAAACCAGGTAGAAATAAAGAAAATGTATAACTAGACAGTGTAAAATCGAAAAAATGTGTCGCAATTTTTATAAAATGGAGGAATAGTAGTGGTAACATATTTTTTCTATGATTAAACACATTCAAGCAAGCGTAAGAATATTAATAATGTTTCAAATTTCAAATAAATATAATGCTTGTTCAGACGTTCACCAAGGTTCCAATTTGGGACCGCTACTGTTTCCTTATTTTATTAATGATCTGCCGAATATCACGCATCATTTTGGATAACTTCTATTTGCAGATGACTTGGAATATATCGAGAAATTCTTATGGGACTTGACCGTAATTTATTAGAAGTTAATATTAATGTTATATGAGATTGGAATGTATAAAACAAATTTAATTTCAGTATCACTAAATGTTGTATAATATCAGTCATTACTAATAAGAAGTATGTAACATATCCCTATTAAATGCAGGCTAATTCTCAACAAAACTAAATACGTGAAAGACTTAGAGTAACATAAATGATACAAAACATTCATTTGAAGACTACTTTGAGAACATTTGAATTTATTTTTGGCTACCAATGTCTTTGTGTATGTCAAATTTGTACAAAGTAATTCGGAACTTGTTGAATAATCTTAATTCGACTGTTTGACTTTAAATAACTACGACAATTTATGCCAATGGCGACTTGGAAACGGACGGAATTTTCACTAAATTAGTTTACTCGGTTGAATCGAAAGGAAGCAAAGCGGATAATCCAACTCCGAGAACTTTAACCCGCAATTCAGTTAGCGATATTTGCGCTTTACTTTGACGCATTTAATTAATAGTGGTGTGTTGTTTCAGTTCCCAAACTGCACCAGCAATATGAGTTTCTTCAATTCGCTCTCGGAGTACGTCAGCAACAGTGTGGCAGGACTAAGTTTAAGCCCGAAAAGGTGAGTACGGTTTGGTTGATTTTCTGTCGAATTATGTGCAGGCGGTTTTGTTTGAACGTTTTGTTGGCATGCAGCGAGTTTCCAGTTAGGTCATAAAGTTTTAATACGGCTGCCGGTTAATAATAAATATCCACAATGTCGAATTTGTAATATTTACATGATAATTGCATTTGCACAAATCTGATTTGTCGTTACGAATAATGAATTATGTTAGCATCCGGCTGGTATTAGAGATTTTAGTGATTTATTGTACCCTGTTTGTTGCACTAATGCACCCCTATATCACTAAAATAAATTATAATAATAAAAAATTTAGATTTTGCGAAATAAAATTTAAGTTGCTATACAATGCATTGTACTCTTTGTACATGATACGGTTATCAGCCTATGTCGTGGAGGGTTTTCATTACTTTTTCTTGTGGTATGCCCAATTGAGTAGCAATTCTTCGTGAGTTGGTGTAGTTGCATCATCTTCCACTAGACTCAGAATATTTTCTACTTCTTTTACACCACGTCGATGAGCTCTTTCAGATGTTATACCAGCACTGGAAAGCTTTACGGTTCCGCACAATTTCTTGAAAACTTTTATAAATAATGTTAAACTATTATAAATGACACTGACAAATCTACTTTTTAATTTAAAACATGACATTCGCTGGTTTCAAATGTTTAAAATTTGTAATTACGTTATAGCTTGAAAACAAACGGAAATTACATATAGCTCGGTCAAAATAGACATTTCAAATAACGAAAATTCCGACAGAGCTAAATTTTGGTGGAGACCTTGGGTACACCATTAGAAATAAAGTTTCAAAAGTCCCCATCGATTCCATGTGTGCTAAAAGAGTTATTCGGTTTTATAATTTTTATAATTTATATAATATTTTAATTTAATTTAAATTTTATAATTTTCAGATCTATAATTTTTGTCCGAGCTACTTTTCTGTTCTATGTTTTCTTCGAGCTGATATGAAATTTAAACGACGTTCGAAGGAATAAATTCGCCCCTAATTGGCCCGAATTGTGCTACAATAACTTATCCGGCTCGAATCTCCTGCACTATAACCGTTTTCAGCTTGTTAAGTAATAAGCGAGGGTGGAACAGAAGCCCGAAAGTATTCCTATTACCCGAAACAATATTAAACAATTAGTAGCCTCGCGTTTTACGAGGTCTGCATGGGAACCGGAGCAGATTCTTCGGACTGCCGTTTGTGCGTTGACAATTATGTTTAATTGGAGGCTGAGCTTGTTCTGTGTCGTCTTAGCAGCTAGGTATACGAGATACTCGCTCTAATAACTTGCCAGAGGGAGGTGTAATTCACACTGTGTTATTCAGATCAAACACGTTATATTTGCTTGCTCTTTAAACAGTAATTAGTTCAAAAACACGCATATATTCCTTCTTTAAAATATAAATAAATACCAGAAACGCTACTCTTAATTATGTAAAATACATCTGTATGTCTATAAATGTAGTAAAAATGCAGAGAAAGAAGTAATAAAACTTCAAATATTGTTCGGTATCTGGAGATACAACTTACAGACAGAGAGTTCTATTCAAAACGTTAAGAACCGTCGTTCTCTACTACTTTTCGCAGGCATCGTTATTTCAAAGACTTTTACTAAGAACCTTTTACCATATTTGTAAGTATCTCGACCAGAAATGACAAAAAGTCTACTTGGATGATACATCTTTGTGTTCACATAGTAAGTGACATTATTTATAAAGCGTATATATCTAAAGCACGCAGATGAAGGTAAAGAATTCTGAGAACAGTATTTCATTGATCTTTAGTACCACAGGGTACTGAAAATTTATAGATATATCGTTATTTGGAGCTTTAAATAGAATTAACCTCAGTGTTGAATTAAAAATTCTAATTCAACGGAAAATTAAACAAATATTCTGTTCAAAAACCAGAATAATTAAAAATTGTATTTATATTAAGTGAAGAGGAATAAATTCCAAACGTAATTTTAAATGAAATAATTCCCTTTCAAATTAACGATGCTTTAAACGAGATTGCATTCAAAATTATTTCATTTTTAATGCGAGTGAATTTCCAGGGACTGAAATTTTATTAACTTCGGGAACACTAAATGATTTAAAACGAAATTAGAACCATCAAATATTTATAGTCAAATGATATTTCAATTTCATAAAATTCCAAATAACGGCTTTAATTTACCTAAGGTATTCAAGACTGAAAAGTGAGTTAATTGAAATTGCGACGTATAATATTGTTTGATTCCTATATACTCTTACTACTGTTTTTAGATATTATATTTCGACATCATTTCTATTCATTACCCTCAATACGTTTATTTTGTTGTTAATAAACAAACGAATTAAACTACAGAAGTTTAGGGATTTTTAATTGATAGTACCAACCAAGCAGTGTTGGTTGCCTATGCCCGATGTCCACGTGACTTGTAATCATTTATGGAAGCTCTCTATACCATTTTATCTACTTTAACGTGACATTTTAGAGTAGAGATCTTTTAATATCTCATGAGCCGCGAAATGCGCGAAAGGCGTGGCGTATCCCCATAATTCTTCTAATAAGCACGTTGTGAAAACATTGACTCAGAATTAGAACACGTGCCTCATTACAACTAGAAATGAATTAAGGCGCTCGGGCATCAATAAAGTCAACTGGCGAACGTTCCTTATATATTTTTTTATTGTTTAAATTAAAATAATAAAGAATAGGGCATTTTATTATGATATTTGTAATCGGATCAAAGGCTTGTTTACGCTAGAGCTCGAGAGAGACTGTGAATAATAGGNTTTAAGATTACAATGACGCTTTCAGAATCATGTTTGGTTGAAAATTAACGCCTGTGCAGAGGCTTAAAGTTCATAACTTTTGGAGCCTCCGTTATAAACAAATTGAATTGTGCGAAAACTATTGCACCTACAGCGCCCACTTTTGGCACACTTTTCAAGTATTTCTTTTCCATTTTCTTTAAAATCGTTGTGTTGTACAATTGAAAAATGGAGCGGTTTGGGAAATACGTTTTATGCAAGTTTTGCAAAAAATTTAGTGAAATTAAAATGTATCATCCGAACCTAAAATTTTTAATGTATTTATTACAAGAATGCGGGCCAGAAATTTATTCGCCAAACTTGTTTGGGATTATTAAAAATCATTTGCTTCTTGTGTGTAAGAAATATGGAGCTCTTCGATCGTGGATCACAGCAGAATAAGATTGTTTCAAAGTACTACATTTATTTTTTGAAACATAGACATTTTATAAATTTTAGTGAATGTGTGCTTGTTTATTCCCCATTAAGAAAAAAAGACGTGGCTGAGGAATTTCAGCAACATTTGGACGCTTTAATTAAAACTATTAAAAGTACATAGGTACTTGGTAAATAATTATTTATAAATGATTTGTACTTATTAAGTTATGATAGAATAAATTTGAAGTTAAATAAATGTCATTTTATTTATAAATGACAAAAAATTTCCAGTGTAATTTCATGCTCCTTACCCCAAGGAAGAGAAAAATTTCCGGAAATTTTCTTAAGTAACGCTACAAAATACAGGCCTTTAATTGGCTGAAAAATACTATTGTGAAATTTTCATTATAATTATTGTTTATATCACAAGAGGCACAACGTTAAATATATAAGTCAGGTTATCGAAATTAAATAAATGTGGTCTCGTGGCTCAAAGCGTTACGCGTTGTCATACTAATCTGAAGGTTCGGGGTTCGATCCCTGATAAGGTATGGTTTTTTTTCAATTAATATAATATTTAAATACAATTTTCTATCGTCCACATTTCAAAACAAATATTTCGGCAGCAGTTGCTGCTCACGAAGTAAATAATTTCTCACAGTGTTGCCAAATATCTGCTGATTCGAGGCGCGCTACATTGCCTGTTAAAAAATTTCCAGTGTAATTTCATGCTCCTTACCCCAAGGAAGAGAAAAATTTCCGGAAATTTTCTTAGTTGCTATAGTAACGCTACAAAATACAGGCCTTTAATTGGCTGAAAAATACTATTGTGAAATTTTCAGTATAATAATCGATTTTTTGATATCAGTTAATTAATCATTAAAAAAATATTTTGAACAGAGTTTTTAAATATATGTTGCATTTTAATTACATTATTAACAGTTTTTTTTAAACTGGTGTTATCATGTGATTTTTATCGCCTCTTCGTATCGTATCCTCCCACAAAACTCCATTGTGTTTCATCACAGTCTTAAATTTTTGTCTGTAGCACTGCCACATGCTTGTATACGCGCAAAGGGCAATAGTTCACTTTTGTAATCATAAAAATTCCCGAATGTCATAAATGAAATAGTAGTAGGTGCAATTTGTACTACAAACGTATTTTGCGTAGCCACACCTACACTGGATGACGATTTATATTCGTAAGTACCTACGAGGAAACGTTGACAAATTCCATTTAAAAATGACTGAAAGAGGCAACGCAAATTTCCCGTTCGAATAAGCCTTGACAATGTACGTTATTTAACTCCAATTAAATTTAATTTGGAGTCTCAATTAAATTATCATGGCTCGTAAGGAAGAGGCCCCCGGGCTCCATCCGTACAATGCCTAGTTTTCTTAAAGCGAAATTTAATTGGACGGCTGCTCGTTTGCCAATTACTAATATTGAATGGGTTGGGGAAACTGTAATCGATACTGTTCCTCGCGATCTCAGTCATCGGCATGACTAATTAACTGTATACGATTTCTTTGACGTTGGGGGTAGGCCTCCGAAGGAATGAGGAATTTTAATTTGCCTCGATTCGATTCGCGAATTTTTTTAAACGCTATATCACATGGGCGCTATACTGTAGTATAACCTTTCGTATTGCTGTATGTAGGTACATTAAAAGAATGAAGTTACGCGACATCTCGTATTTCCATTATACTTACGAGAGAACCAAATCGCATCATTTTCTTTCATCTGTCACAACCACACATTAGTACTACTTTTCATCTCTATAACGCTTCTGCTCGACAGATAGATAAATGT